TTTTTTTTAGGGAACAGAAAACTTTATCTCCAAAACTACTCTTAAGCAGAAACCATTTTACAAATGTACTCTTACATAAAACCTCAATATGTACATCATAAATATACATATTGGGCTGGGTGTGGTGGTACTCTGGGAGGCTGAGGCAAGAGGATCCCTTGAGCTCAGGAGTTCCAGACCAGGCTGAGCAACAGTGAGACCCCTCTACTAAAAACAGAAAAATTAGCCAGGCATTGTGGTGGGCTCCTGTAGTGTCAGCTACTCAGAGGCTGAGGCAGGAGCCAGTGGTTTTCGACCTTCCTAATGTCGCAACCCTTAAATATAGTTCCTCATGTTGTGGTGACCCCCAACCATAAAATTATTTCGTTACTACTTCATAACTGTAATTTTGCTACTGTTATGAATCATAATGTAAATATCTGATATGCAGGAGACCCCCAAAGGGGTTACGACCCACAGGTTGAGAACTGCTGACTTAAGCCCAGGAGTTCGAATTTGCTGTGAGCTAGACTGAGGCACTTTAGCCTGGTTGACAAAGTGAAACTGTCTCAAAAAAACAAAAAAACAAAAGAAAATTAGCATTTTATTAGTATAAGTGCATTTTGTAATTCTACCAAACCTTTAAAGAGAAACTAGTACCTATATTACCTTTTCCAAAACAAAGAAAAAGAAGGACTACTACCCAATACATTCTATGAAGCAAACATCACTTTGATCCCCAAACCAGGAAAAGATGCAACAAGAAAAGAAAATTATAGACCAATATCACTAATGAATACTGATGCAAAAATATTCAACAAGATTCTAGCAAACAGAGTCCAGCAACACATCAAACAAATTATACACCATGACCAAGTGGATTTTATCCCAGGGTCTAAAGGCTGGTTTAATATATGTAAATCTATAAATATAATTCATCACATAAACAAATTAAAAAATAAAAAGCATATGATTCTCTCAATTGATGCAAAAAAAGCTTTTGATAATATCCAGCATTCTTTCATGATCAGAACACTTAAGAAAATAGAAGGGACATTTCTTAAATTGATAGAGACCATCAATAGCAAACCCACAGGCAATATCGTATTGAATGGAGTTAAATGGAAATCATTTCCACTCAGATCAGGAACGAGGCAACGTTGCCCATTGTCTCTATTGCTTTTTAACATTGTAATGGAAGTCTTAGCCCTTGCAATTAGGCAAGAAAATGCAATCAAGGGTATACACATAGGGTCAGAAGAGATCAAACTTTCACTCTTCGCAAATGATATGATTGTATATCTGGAAAACACCAGGGATTCTACTACAAAACTCTTAGAAGTCACCAACGAACACAGCAATGTCTCAGGTTACAAAATCAACACTCATAAATCTGTAGCCTTTATATATACCAACAACAGTCATGCTGAAAAAACAGTCAAGGACTCTATTCTGTTCACAGTAGTGCCAAAAAAGATGAAATATTTGGGAGTTTACCTAACAAAAGATGTGAAAGATCTCTGTAAAGAGAACTATGAAACTCTAAGAAAAAAAAAATAGCTGAAGATGTTAACAAATGAAAAAGCATACCATGCTCATGGCTGGGAAGAATCAACATTGTTAAAATGTCCATACTACCCAAAGCAATATATAATTTTAATGCAATCCCCATTAAAGCTCC